TCAAAATGCTCTGTTCCACCTTGTGATGTCATGAAGTGGTAGTTTTTAAGTTAACACTTTTTTTTAATCTTTAGTTCAGTAGAGATTGCCAATTCCAGGGCTGAAAAGAGCCATATGATTCTAGTGAAGATGTGTGGAGATTAAACATACAGTGGATTAACACATGACATCACAAGGTGGAACAGTGTTTTGTGTTTAGGATGTGCGAGTTAAACATGTGTGAATGAAACAGAACGCACATTATAACAGATCAGAAAACAGCGGAATATGGGACCTTTCATTTCAGTTAGAGGAGGGCGATATATATTGTCTACAAAATCAAAAATCAAATCTATCAAAATGGTTGTGTTAAAGCCACACTGTGTAACTTTCAGGATGTAGCATGTCACACCTGCATGATTCTATGGAAACTGAATGTTAAAGCCGTACTTTGGGACAGTGTGCATGTAGTTCAGTTTTATGCCGTACTGTGGAATATGGAACAACATTTCCATAAAGACGAGCAGGAAGAGGCTCTGCTCTAGGTCATGTTTAAATCAGGTTTGTGGAGAGGCAAGCCCGCTCATAGTATTTACAGTCCAATTAAAACAGCACATTTTTTGGCTAAAAGGTTACCCACTGTGGCTTTAAAGATGGGCCAACAAAACTAGAGTATTGAGAATATATTAAGAAATGTCTAAAACTTCAAAAAATACAATTTAAAGAAATTCATAAAAAGAACAACAACTTGCTAATCTTTGGATAAACAGTAAAGAAAATGTACTGTATCTCTTGCGGTTGATTTGAAACTTTCTGTGTGATTCTTGAACTTAAGCCAAGATCCCAACTTTCATCTGATTATTCTTTCCACTCGCTTGTCTCTGTGGATATTTTGCTTTCCCTGGAATGTTCCACACTTTGGCTTTAAACTTCATCTATCCATCTGGAACAAACAAGTGGCGCCTCTAAGTTACAGGCCAGATCTGAGGAAAGGCAACCCTACTCCCAGTAAGGATTAGGGCTGGGTATCATTAAGAAGTTGCCGATACGATACATACCTTGATACAGTGCACTTTTGATTCGATACGATATATTTCAAATCAATTTGATATTGTTCAATAAAAAAATAAAGGCTAAATCATGTCTGTGATACTAAAAGTCTTTGTTAAACCACTTCTTGTGCAAAGTTCATATGAAACACAAACATTTTAATCATCAAAACAGTGAAAATATCAAATGTGTCGCATAAACAAGATTCCATCCTCTAAACAAACAACAAAACTGTAGCTACAACAAAATTATTTAGTAAAATATACAAAAAAAAACAACACTCTTGGCAGTAAGTGATACAGTATCGATACTGTATTGTCACATTAAATGATACGATATATAGATATTTTGATATTTTTGCACACCCTGTTGTGTTTTCAACAGTAACACAACAAAGTAACAATACAAAAGTGAAAATGTATGACATAAATGTGAGTGTTTAATGCCACATTCTGGAACTTTCCCAATAAATAATCAGTAATCGCGCAAATTCAAATTGTGACTTCTACATGATTTTTAACAGTGTGCTATTATATGAATCAGTCATTTCTACATGTTGGCTGCAGTGTAACAGAGCAAAGCATCATGGTCTATGTAGTCTCCTCTGTGTCTGTCTGGATGTAACACTAATTTTACATTAATGGTTAAAGACAAAACATGAAATAATCAACCAAATTTGGTATTTTCAAAGGACAGACCACAAACATAGAGTAAATAAAACTTTTACTCAAGTAAGTGTACTGTTACTTAAAGAGCCCATATTATGCTGTTTTTTGATCTATGTTCTAATGTAGTTTGGTCATCACAAACAGACCTGGAGTTTAATTTAGCTTCACTCACACATTTAACACACAAACAGGGTTCTTCTCTCAAACAGAAAACACTGTTCCACCTTGTGATGTCATGTGCTAATAAAGGAAGTGCTTCAATGTGTTTTTAAACTCCACACACTTTCATTAGAATCATTTGGATTATTTCATCTTATTTCAGATTTATTTGTTGTTAACTTGAAAACTACCACTACATGACATCACAAGGTGGACCAGAGCATGCTGAACTCTTTAAATGTACCCAGACTAATACATCAGGATTACTCAAACATGTATGAAAGAAACAAAACCAGGGTATCCCCAGGTTTGATTACCCCAAATTTAAGACTTTTTAAAGACCTTTTTAAGACCATTTGAATGAAACATCGCACCCATTATGTGGGAGAAAAACACCAGATCCAATTCTACTAATGACCATTACTGACTGCTTTAAATATCAAAAAATACTTTTACTATAAACCTCATTCAGAACTCATTTATAGCCGTATGCATTGCTTGTAAAATGGCCAAAAAATCATTTATAACAAACTAGGTATTGTTTGAGCATTCTCCAAATTAGACTTTCATTCACTTTACATGATTCACGTTGTTGTTTTTTTTCCTCCCTCTGTTTAACGTTGCAAGGCAGCCCAGTTGAGTTTACAAAAAAAATTAGGCTAATGATGAAAAATTTAAGACCTTTGTGAAAAAAATAAGAATTGGACAACATAATTTAAGACTTTGTAAGGCCTTTATTTAAGAACATGAAATTTAAGGCCTTTGTAAGACTTTTAAGACCCTGCGGCTGCCCTGAAAACAAAACTCTGCATTGGGGGTGTGCAAAGATATCGAAATAGCGATATATAGTATCACGATATATTACCAAGAGTATATTTTGGTGTATTTTACTAAATTAGTTTGTTACAGCTACAGTTTTGGTGATTAAAATGTTTGTTTGTTGTCCTTTAATGTGTGTTTCATATGAACTTTGAACAAGAAGTCGTTTAACAAAGACTTTTAGTATCACAGACACAATTTTTTATTGAACTGTATGGAATCAAATTGAAATATATCAGGTCAAATCGAATCGAAAGCTCACTGTATCGAGATATGTATCGTATCGTGGCCTATGTATTGCGATTAGTACCATATCTGCAACTTGGTGAGGTCACAACATTATAACATGGGGAAAATCTCTCAAGAGTCCGTTTTGTGTTCTACAGGACCTTTAACATTCTCCCCACAAACGTATTAAAGCACAATTATGCAACTTTTTTCCAAACTGGGCTCAAGCCTCAGTGAAGTGTCCCCGGCACTTTTCATATGACAAGAGCACCTGCTAACAGAGAATGCGAGGGCCAATAATGTGAATACTAATTACCATAAGCAGATGTTTCTAATCCAATTTACCTCCAAGAACGACATATGGTCCCAAACTACAGCAGCCTCAGAGGGACAAAACAACTCAAACTCCACAGAAACTTAACAAAAACAGAAACTGGACATTCAGAAGAGTAGAAAAGAGTACATTTTTCAACATAATATGGTGTAACTACTAACTAACAATGAAAACAAACTGAGACTGAAACGAAATGTGACTAAAAATTGCTATAATTTTATTTTTGAAGAAGACTGAATAACTAACTTCTATAACTTGCTATACAAACTAACTACAAAACTAAGTGATGTTTGAGCTTGTTTCAGTCAGTATTCATGTTTATCTGCAATATTTTCTTTAGCATTTCACTTCAAAATGTGGTATAGTGACAGGCCTACGTTTGAGTAAATATACAGACAATGTTAATCTAATTGTGACATGACAAGTCATCCAAAATCATTTCAAAACTTCCAAAAACATCTTCAAGTTTTGATACTAAAGAACTGACTCAGAACTTGACACCGATTCTGATACTGCCACGAAGATAAAACATGGTCCTTTTGTAGTGCAAGTATATTATTTTCATACTCAAACCTCAGGCTGAGAAATGTGTCGTATACTTGATCTGATAAAGCTCAACGTGACACCAAAAACTGTACAGGAAAGCTCAAATTCTGTCCCGTGAAAGTGACGTTTTTAGAATAAATACCTACTCAAATTAGTATCTTGTTTCGATATTAGTTGTAGTATCGATTTGAATTAGTATTTTTGGAAACTCTTTAATAGTTCTAGATTGCTGTTCTTAAATTCATGTACTATAAAATGACAAAAAAATACGCTGCCAACAAGTTTTCATCAAACTGTACTGTGGAGAAGTAGTACAAAAACTGCAATGATTTTCAGCTCAGAGTATAACAGCCTCTTTATACAGTAAGTGCTGTTTTCAGTCAAACAAATAATTATATCTTTATGTGGCGTTCAAGCTGCTATCGACGTGTTTAGGGATACAGACCGTGCTTTAAGTGTATGCTAACTTAATGACACTTGTAATTACATAAGCAGATGCTGCTGATCCAATTTACTTTCAAGAGAGACATATGGTGAAACTACTGCAGCTGAGTACAGAACATCCAGAGTACATCTATTTCTGTAACTCAAACAACTCTAAACACCGGATTCCATAATTACAAGAATAAAACGTCTAATTTCGACCAATATAGCACTTTTTCCAAGACGATTACAGCATAGACCTTATAATATTCAACTAGAAAACGTGAAAAGGGCTTATTTCTTTCTCTAACATGAATTTACTTTTTTTTTTTCTATTTGATTTTGGAATTTTAAAAGAATAGTCATTTCTGTTGGTGAAAACTTTAGAAAGAGGTCAATTTTGCATTAAAATATTAAATTATCATATTTTATTGATCGATATGGGCCTTCAATCTGGCACACAATATTAATATTTAACCTTGCATCACTTAAAATGAAAAAAAAAAAATGAAACAATAATATTTAAAAACGTACAAAGTAGGTTAAATTTACGTTGTAAGTTACGCCTACGTGTAGTAACTGAGCGAGCTAACTTGAAAGATAAGGTTTGAAATGAACAAAAGATGCAAATAATTGGTTGAACGTAACAAAATCTGTTAAATTCTACGGAAAAATTGTAAGTTAACTTTACACTCTGAAGCACAGTTGAGTTTATGCGTCAAATTACGTGCAGATTTCGCTACGTTAAAGCAACAAGCGTCACGTTGTTGTTGTTTTCATTGTTCTGTACTCACTTCGCGGACCATCCTCGCCACTTCACCAAGAACTCCAACTTCCCCTGCAACACAAAAGCGCACGGATTAGCCGGGGGAAAAAGCGCCCAAACATCCGCAAACACGAGGTGAATCTGCGTACTTTTCTGAGGCGTTTGTTGAGGATGCACTCGGCGTCAAAAACCTGCTCTCCCACCGCGCTCAGCTCCTCCATGGCCGCGCTTTGGCTCCGTGTGTTCGGCGGGGGCAGAGCGGAGAGGAGACCGAGCAGAGTGAGAGGAGCGCGGGCTGGAGGAGGAGGAAGAGCCGGGGAGGTGGAGAAAGGACCGGAGGGGAGGGGAGACCGGGTGTGGGACCGCGGACCTTCACAATAAAAGTTCTTAGCGAGTGAAAATGAAAAAAGTAAGATTTTATTTAAGTGCAGTTAACAATTTGTGGCGTGCAGGTTAAATATGAGGTTTATTAAGACGAAGACATTGGCAAGTTTACAGAGACACGTGTAAAATCTTCAAGTTTTGATACTAAAGAACTGATTCAATACTGACACAGATTCTAAAGCTACGTCCACACGGCAACCATCCATATTTTAATTTATTATTTATTTATTTTTTTATTTCTGCGTTGAAAAAAACAAACAAAAAAACGCATCCATACACCTTTCAGATTAATAAATATTCACGTCCAGACGACAACGGGGCAGAGTGAAAACGAACGATGTAATACATATGCCACACCTGTATGTGGTGCTGTTAACAATGATAGTAATATTAAAGAATGCATATCACCTTTTTTTTTTTTTTTTTTTTTTTTTTTTAAGATAATTTAGCCTATTTTAGATGTATCCCAGAAATATAGCTGTTTTGTTTTGCAAAAGTTAAACAAGTTTTCGTTTGTAGCCATACGATTTGGATGAGAATTATTAGAATATCCATTAAATCCATCTAGAACATAATTAAATCCAACAGTTTAATTACCCGTGTGTAATAGCCGTGTTGTTGTGTGGACACCACCTGAGAGATACAGGACTACATTCATACCATACTCCAGAAGTACAACAACTCACCTTTATGTAACAGATAATACTCCCTACAACTGTACACCAATTCAACCTTATGTAACAGATAATACTCCCTACAACTGTAAACAACTCACTCTTATGTACCACATAACCCCGTGTCTTGTCAATCATCATATCATTGTTGTGTTGTTTTCTGTGACCTCTTGTATAAAGCTCTATATTCTTTATTTATTCTGTGTCTTTAATGACTACATAAGACTTAAGCTAAGTTTTCAATTATACAGAAGAAAAGAACAAAAATTCCCCTACCTTTCAATTTGAAACTGCCTCTTTAGACCAATCCAGACTCCTCAGCAAAAAAGTTACATTGTTCCTGAGTTTTTGATTACAATAATCAATCACGTCAGCTCTTTATGTGCCATCTGTTTTTTAAAGGCCCATTTTAATTTATTCATCACAAACAGACGTGGGGTTGTGTTTTGTTTCATTCACACATGTTTAACACACAAACCCTGCACATTTAGGCTCTTCTCTTAAACAAAAACTCCTTGTGATGTCATGTGGAAATACAGGGAGTGTGTTAAAAAGGGGAAAAGGCTGTGGTTTAAAAGTCCACACACCTTCACTGAAATCATTTGGATAATTTCAGCCCTGGAGCTGCCACGTGGACCAGAGTATTTGGAGCTGTGGAGATGTAGACAGTCTAATTATAAAGAGTTACTCAAACATGTGAATGAAACTAAACACAACTCCAGGTTTGTTTTTGAGGAGGGAACAACATTATAACAGGACTTAAAGCTCATAAGAGTCAGTTTTGTAGAATATAAGACCTTTAAATGCAACTCTATCTTAAAGAGCATGATGGCACAGTGGTCAGTATTCTCTCCTCACAATAACAAGGTGTGTAACAAATAACAGGTTTGAGTACCTGAGTGAGTTCTTCCAGTTTTTGATAATCTCATGAACAACACGTCAAATCTTCCCTGAGCGGTGAGGATTAAAGGGCAGGTTCAGCCCAGTTAACTCAAAACATTTATCAAAGAGGACAATGCAGGAAACCAACTAAACAATATGTTGTTTACAGTAGTGGATGAAGTACTCAATTTTGTGACTTAAGTAACAGTTCAGATACACAAAAACTACTGAAAAAAAATACTGCAAAATATACTGCAAAAAATTAAATCTAGTCAAGTTAAGATGACTTGAATTAATAATGTTTTATCATGATCTGAGTAAATTTCACTTGAGTAAAATGATCTACCAATGGAACAAGACTTTTTGTACTTAAAGTATGAAAATGCATCTTTGCAAATGAAATGGAAATACTCTTTGCACTTAAAATAAGAAAGTAAATCTAATTTTGCTTGAATTAAGAAACAAAAAAAAAAAAAACAACAACACATATTTCATTGGTGGATAATTTGACTTGTCAAGTTTAATCTACTCAAATAAAGTCAAATGTTCTTCATTTAAGTAATTTTAACTTACCTAGATTTGGATTTTTGTGGTGCAGAGGCAAAAAGTTACAAGTAAAAGTAAAAGCATGACATGAAAAAAAAATCTACTTAAGTAAAAGTATTAAACTACCTGTTTTAAAATGTATTTTAAGAGTATAAAAAAGTATTTTGCATTGTTAATTTGTAAAAATATTGTGATATTGATTAAGTTATGATACATTTGTTGGTTGACAGTTGCAATAAGAATACATTTTTAAGCTTTACTCAGGATATTACCACAGACATGGTAAAAAATAATCATTAAAATCATGTGAAAAGTACTTTTACTTTTCAGTTCTGTTCAAAAATTTATGGAGTAGAAAGTGCAGATACCTGCTCTCAAATGTAGTGGAGTAAAAGTAAAAAAGTACTCATGTTAAAATGTTCTTAAAGAGCGATTAAACCTCCTCCCAAAGCTTTACTCCGCCCCTAAGCAAAATCTGAAAAATCCTCCAGAGTGAGCGGTGCCTGGAGGTTTGTGGGGAGCGGGTGTGGGACATTTGTGCTCAGATCACGCCGTTTCCCTTTTCTCCAGACACGACGGGACATGGCGGTGCCAGGTAGGGGCGGGGCTGAGAGGAGCTCCTCATGTACCACCCATAGACGCCAGTGTCTGTGGTCACATAATAACCTGCATCTGACTCACTGGCGCCGTTAGTCCAACCTGAAAATTCAAATGTCCTGGCCGTAGTTGATCCTAAAGAGGCCGTTACACCCAAAACTCTGTTTTTTTCCACAAATATGCACTAAAATGCCAAAATAAGGCCAGGGATAGAGATACACTTCTATTTTAGACCCATTTACACAGATCATCAGTGGAAAAAAGTGATCTTGGTGTTTAGTGTAGGGTGACCATATTTGCGTTTGTCAAAACCAGGACACAATACGGGAGGTGGGGGGTGGGGCATCGTCATCGACATTGAGTGACTCTCACCTGGCAAAGCTTTTTAATGTTTTTGCGGTGTCTTGGTGCTTTGAGGTCCCTGACACCCTCACTGGACACCGAAACATATGTGCTGCTTTAAACACTGTGCACATGGCCTCACACTTGTCTCGACCGGGATGGAAAGTGGGGAATTTCTTGTACAAGTCATCGTTAAATACGCATTTGTGCTTCGGTATGTTGCAGATTGACCGACTGTTTGTGTTTGCTTGCTCCTTCTGAGTTACAGAGAGCTACGAGAGACGCCCAGTTTAATGGCCCAATGAAAGAAAACCATTTGCATTACTGTATTTTCCACAGTATAGGGGGCTCTGGATTATAAGATGCACTGTCATTAAATGGTCTATTTTCGAACTTTTCACAAATAAACCACACCAGACTTTAAAGGAAACCCAACAGTGTGATGGGTGAGTGGTTTTGTTTGTTTGTTCGTTCACGGTGACTCTGGGCTTTGTTCAGTTGTGGCGTGTAGGGAGGGTGTGTCTGGGACCAACGGATTGTCGGCGTGTTCACAGTGACTCAGTTGTTCAGTTGTGTCTAGAAGTGGCACATTGCACTCGCTTTTTTCGATTTGTTCCTTCGTTCCGTTCCTCGTCGGTGTGGAGTGATGAGTGTGTCTGTGGGTGTTTTTCGCTGTGCGGTCGCTGTCTGCTCCGTGTGTGTTTGTGTGTTCTGTGGGTGGTGCGGTTTTGTAGTTTACTGAAGTCGTGCTGGGACACCCGAGTGGATTCCTGTATAGGGCGCTCTGGATTGCGGGGCGCGCAGTCGTTTTTTGATGGGTTGGAGGCTTAAGAGCGCACCAAATAGCCCGGAAAATACGGTACTTTAGAAAAAAACAAAAAACGTACAGATACTTACAAATTCTACTACAGTACTTTACTACTTTTACTTAGTCACATTCCATCATTTGTTTGATTGTAACCTTTTAAATATATTAAATGGTTTATAAGATCAATGATGCCTTTTTACATGTCTGTGTAATCCCGTGCAATCCATCAGTGGTCCAGGTAAGATCTCACCCAAGCTGCTTCTTCAGTTCTGGTTCTGGTGGACGCTGCCTTATGTCTGACATCTGCTGACAGAATTGATTTTTTCTTTGCTTTGAGTTTCTTTTCTATAGTATATTTTTCATAACATTCAAGCACATCAGCCAGCAGCCTATGAACTGGCTTTTATTTTGAAGGTTCTGGCAGGAAGTAGGTGTGTTTTCCGTTTAACTTGACAGAATCCCAGAGAAAGGCGGTAACTGAGAAGATTGTACAAATGTCCCTTCAAGGCCACCGTCCATGTTTTATTTTTCTCAATGAATGAATTGTACTCCTAATGACCCTGTGGTTTTCAATGAACATATAAACTACATCCCTGTTCTTTTCACTCGTCTGTGCTGTAGATACTTTTACTTGTAGATGTTAATTTGACAACAGTAAGTAGGTCTGTGTTTATGTAACCAATGGATGGAAGTTACATAATTTGTTTTTAAATGGGCCATTTGGACAAGAGGCCTCGAAGTGGGTCAGGAAAAGTAAAACAACGAAAAACACCTTAATAACAGTGGGAAAAAAAGAGTAAAAGTATAAAGTATTAGTAATAACTTAAACCTAAACTAAACTAAAATACAAAAAATACACAATAAATGAATGTAAATGTTGTAATTTTCATGTTTAGTTGGTAGAAATCTCAATATGGGCACACTGTTTTTGTTTCGTCCAATTTTATTTATTTATGTAACTGGACAATGTACATTTAACTTGAGGTCAAAAATTTTACATTAGGAAGCGAATTTCCATCTAAAGTCCCAGAATATTCTATTTTCTGAACATCTTATCATGTTGTTTCCTCATCACAAATACCCAGAGTTGTGTTTTGATTCATTCACATACAAAATCCTGCATATTTAGCTGTTTTTCTCACCAACGGAAAACACTTTGTTCCACCTTGTGATGTCACGCGGTAATATAGGGAGTGCTCCATTGTGTTTTTAAACTCCACACACCTTCACTAGAATCATTTTAATAACTTCATCTCTGGACTCGCAGATCCCTACTGAACAAAAGGTAAAAAAAAAAAAAAAGGTTGTTGTTAACTTTAAAATTGCCACTACATGACATCACAAGGTGGAACATAGCATTTTGATCATTGGACACGTGGATGAACTAATACAGGGGAGCGCAATACGTGGATCGCGATCTACCAGTCGATCGCCAAGGTCGTGTGGGTAGATCGTCGTGTCTCGTCTCGGACTTGATCGTGTTTGGACTCGGTCTTGTCTCTCACTCGAGGTCTGACACTCAACAAGTGTGATCATATTTCATTACGGCCGCTGCTGTTGGTAATAAACTTGTAGCGGGTCATTTGAAACCCATGGAGGCAACAGCGTGTGGACTCCTGTACCAGCGTGCATCACAGGACAGGTTCAACTTCCTAAACATCCTACCTGTCCATCTGCCTCACGTCAGCACGCCGCCCCTTCGCCTTTTCACGCTCTCGCTCCTTCCTGCGTACAGCGAACACAAGCCCCTCCCACAGTGCGGCTGATGAGAAGAGCAAGACCAAACGTGAAGCAAAAACCAGTCTAAATTTGTGTTCCAGTGTTGGGCACAACGCAGGTCTACAGCATAGAGCGGATCTACAGAACAGACCTACTGCCACATTTGGCTGAAGTTTGTCTAACAAAAGTGCACAAATGCATCTGTGTTTGTCACGATGTGCGTTTGGTTTGGTAAATGTGCAGAGGCTGGTAAATATCACTGCAAAACCAGAAAAGAATGCAACTCCAGTTTGGAACTTTAAAAAACAGGTTTAAAAATCTTCCTTCACTTTTTTCACAGTTTTGTGTAAAGTGCCAGAGGAAGTTCTCTTAAAGAAGAGGTTCTCAAACTGTGGGGGAGGGTCCAAAAAAGGGGCACAGAGTGTTTCAGTGCAGTTTGCTTGACTTTGTATTAGGTCGATCATTTTGACTTGGTCAGTTTGTAAGTAGCTCACATGCTGAAAAAGTGTGAACACCCCTGCACTAATATGTGGCCATACCGTCAGATCTCAGGAGTTCAGTACTTGGATGGGAGACACTGGGAAAATCAGGTGCCACAGGGGGCGCCAGTCTCAAAAACTGTTGTTGTGTCCTTAGGCAAGACACTTCACCCACATTGCCGAGTATGAAAGTGGTGTGTGCGTGAGTGATGGTGATGGTCGGAGGGGATAATGGGGCAGATTGGCAGCCACACTTCCGTCAGTCTGTCCCAGAGAGTGTGGAGTGAATGAATAATGAACTGTAAAGTGCTTTGGGTATCTTGAAAGGTGCTGTATAAATGCAATGATTAATTAATGTGTGAAACAAAACAGAAGAGACCTTTTTCAATGGCCAGAAGTGTCTCGCTGTAGGTTTGTGAAACTTCCGGTTAATGGTTTTCTATGACAGAATATCAGTGTATTTGTCAGCTTCATAAATCTGCCCCATCACCAAATCTTCAACTAACAAGGTCCACAAAGGATAAACATTGTAACATGAAGAATTTATCCACAACTATCAAGGGAAGAAAGATGAAAACTTAAAGATGAACAACGACGATGCATTAGTGACACACTGAACTAAAATAATGTTATTATAATGAATAAAACAGAAGTAACTTGTTCAGTCAAACTTATTCTACAATTAAAATTAAAAATCTGTTTCATGTGGGAGACATAGATAGATAAATTTGTGCAGTTTGAATGCAAGACCTGCAATCTGTGAACATCTGAAGCATTCGAACTGCACAAATCAATCTGTCTATTATGGTAATATCAACATCAGGAAATCTATTTTTAATTTAATTTAGTTCACTAATGTGTCGTCGATATTCTCCTTTAAGCTTTCGTCTGTCTTACCTTGATCGCTGTGGGTAAATTTTATATGGAAGAATGTTTATCCTTTGTGGACCTTGTTGGTTGAAGATTTGGTGATGGGGCTTGAAAATACGACACACATTTACACAGATAGTTTGCCACAGAAAACCATTAAGTTAAGGAAGTTCTGCAAACCTACAGCGGGACACTTTCAGCTGTTGTGAAAAAAGGTCTACTCCAGGTTTGTTTTTGATAAGAAAACAACATTATAACCTGACTAAAAGCTCACAAGAGATAATTTAGTATAATCTAGAACCTGGAGGATGTGAGGAGGGGCACAGTCCATAAAGTCTGTCAATCATTCACACACCTTCCCTACAGCACATATTATATTAGTGCAGAGGTCAACACTGGCTTCATGTTCATTTTTATTGCACCTTTTATGTACCTCTGTAATATTAAGTGACTTGAAATATTAATACAGTCATTTACACAACTACAAAGCCAGCCTAGTGGCACTGAAATATTAATAGGAAATATTTCTTTCAGATCAGTAAAGTTTGATGTTTTGGTAAAGCCATACCGGTTTGTCAAAGCCTGATCCCGTCAGATCTCAGAAGCTCAGCAGGGCCGGGCCTGGTCAGTACTTGAACTGGAGACTGCTGAGAAAATCAGGTGCCACAGGGGGACGCCAGTGGGAATAACTGTCGTTGTGTCCTTAGGCAAGACACTTCACCCACACTGCCTAGTATGAAAGTGGTGTGTGTGTGTGTGTGTGTGTTGGTGGTCAGAGGGACCGATGGCGCCGATTGCCTCAGGGCAGCTCTGGCTACAATAGTAACTTACCATCGCCAGGTACAGAGTGAATGAATAATGCTGAATAATGCTTTAAAGCGTCTTTGTGAGAAAAAAAAAATGTCTGTGAAAAGCCCTATATAAATAAAGACGTACTTACTTAAATAAATAAAGACTTACTAAAGCCCCCATTTTGAGGCAATTTTATTTGAAATATATTGATTTTTACAGTTTGAGGTGAGCAAAGGATGAACACAGAGACAGACTTAAAATGAAGTTTGCTGGACTTCCCCTTCTTCCTCTTTTTTCTCTTTTTTCTCTCCATCTGTTGATCTGAAACACACAATGTCACTGGGTCAAGATTTGATTTACAATATCACACTAGAGAAAAAAACAGAAGAGTTAAAATGATTTGAATTTTGTTTTAATATCTGCTCTTGGTTTTTGACTCCCCCTCCCTCTCCCTTCTGTGTTCTGTCTGAGTTTCCAATTTACCTGGGTGCGACATGGGCGGCACCAGAGCATGAGGGCCCACCTGTCTCCTATCATCCCATCAGCTGCAGTAGAAGAACCTGCCTCTTCAACCACTCCTGATGTTCATTGTCACAGCTCTGTTAGTGAATCCTTCTCTTGCTGCTTCTGGAATTTGAGTATATTTTTTAACTTACCTTTCCCTGTGTCCATGTGCCTGCTTACAGTATTTCCCAAAAGTGAGTACACCCCTCACAACTTCTGCAAGCTGTGGACAGCTTGTAAAACAGAGTAACTACTGTTATTGTACTGGTAGTATTGTTACTGTCCTCAAAAGAACTCCACACACAGCCATTAATGTCTAAACTGATGTCAACAGTGAGTACACCCCTGAGGGAAAATGTCAAATTGGGCCTAATTTGTTATTTTCTCTCCTCTGTGTCATGTGACCTGTTAGTGTTACAGGTCTCAGGTGTGTAAGTGGAGCAGGTGTGTTTATATTTGGTGTTATTACTCACACACACTCTCATACTGGTCATTAAAGAAGAACTCTCTGAGGATATGAAGAAAAAAATTGTTGCTCTACATGAAGATGGCCTAGGCTATAAGAAGATTGCCAACATGCTTAAACTGAGCTGCAGCACGATGGCCAAGACCATACAGAGATTTAACAGGACATGTTTCACTCAGAACAGGCCTCGCCATGGTCGACCAAAGAAGCTGAGTGCACGTGCTCAACGTCATATCCAGATGTTGTTTTTGGGAAATAGACATACAAGTGCTGCCAGCATTGCTGCAGAGGTTGAAGGAGTGCGGGGTCCGTCTGTCAGTGCTCAGACTATACACTGCACACTGCATCAAATTGATCTGCATGGCTGTTGTCTCAGAAAGAAGACTCTTTTAAAGATGATGCACAAAAAAGCCCGCAAACAGTTTGCTAAAGACAAACAGACTAAGGACATGGATTACTGGAAGCATATCCTGTGGTCTGATGAGACCAAGATAAAACTATTTGGTTCAGATGTGTGTGGTGGCAACCAGTGAGGAGTCCAAAGACGAGTGTGTCTTGGCTACAGTCAAGTATGGTGATGAGTGTCATGTAGTGATTGGTCATTTGAAGCTGAGGCACCGAGGCTTGTACCGAATAAAAGGGGGTGTGTCGCTTGAAGCCCCAATTCGACTCTTGTGTCAGATTGCTAAAAACCATGTGACCAGCATAAAGCGAAGCCTCACTTCCCACATGAGTGGTTTAGTCTACATGTCACTTTTCAAAATAAAAGCACGTAGTACCTCGCGGCACCTCCATGGGTGTCGGAGGTTGATTGTAGTTTGAGAGTCAGTGTCAGTGATAAGTGCTAGAAAAAAGTAAAGGTTTTGTATTCAGGTTTAGTTAGGCCTAATTTAGCTAAATTAGGTTAGTTTAGAATGTCGCACACACACACGCAACTTTGAAATGGCTGCACCAAACAAGGTTATCTGAAATTATCTTTTGAACTTTGCCTCTCAAAAATGCCTATAATTTTTTTTCTTTGAGTTCAAATAAGCCCCATATATGCAAAATTTACCACTTAACTTTTTAAATACATATAACATAACTAGAATATTACAATGAACATGTTTAAAATTTTACTTCAAGCATTATACTTCCTTGTCTTAAGGTTAGATGCAAAATCTGCGATGGAGAGTTTGTGCATAATGGCAACACCTCTGCAATGCTCAGACATTACATGTTGCAGAACCTGAAAATGCTCCATCTACATTTATCTTTTCTCATCATTCTGTATGTCTCATGACATTTTAAATTACTTGCTTCATTATTACTTTCATCAGAAATCACAAGCAAAAATGGATGAAGCAGTTGCCAACCTTGTAATTAAAGATATGCAGCCATTTAATATTGTGGAGGGTGAAGGCTTTAAGGAGCTTATGCTGCTGGTGGCCCCAAACTATGCTTCCCACTAGAAAAGTGTGTGCTCTGTATTTGTTGGATGTATTGTGTTTAAACTGAAGTGTATTTGCATCTCTTTCAGGCCTTAAAGAAAACATGACATGTGGACCTCTATCAACATGGATGCCTATTTGGCCATTACATGTCACTTTATTGATAGAGATGACAAAATGGGCTCAGTGTTGCTCGGAGTTGAGCACTTCCAACAGGCTCACACTGCTGAAATTTTGGCTCAAGCGATGGCAGAGGAACTTTCAAAAGAGAAAAGGGTGTCTGTATCAAAGGTTATTCCTATGTTTAAAATGTTGCATCTTACTGTTTCTCAAAATTGATGAATTCTTTCTTTTACAAATATATTATGAACAACCTGAAACTTGAAGAAAAATGTAATTTCAACACAATGAACTTTGTGTGCAAATAGGAATAAGTACATTTTTCTTGGAAAAATTCTGCACTCGGCTCCACTTTTCTCATGTTGGACATTTTTCTGATGAGGGTGTCACGGTCAACAGTCAAAACAATCATCCTTTAAGAGCGTTTGGAAAGAGACAAGTCTTCATTTGTGCTGCTCTGGTGGGAGGGGCCACGTACAGAGACACTGGAGACACTGCTGTGATAAACACCACAGAAAATTAACAATGTTTAATAGAAAATATAATTAAAATATTTTAGTAGAAAATCAACCGAGAGCCACATTAAAGGTCTTGGAGGGCTGGATCTGGCCCCCGGGCCGTATGTTTGACACCTGTGATTTAGAGCATTTTGGTTTTACTACCAGAATATGGCTGTGTAACCTACATATATCCTTGTATTAGTTTTTTTTCACTGAATATGATGTACAGTCAGTTCAACATTCTATCAGCTCAAAAATTATATTTGTTATTTGAGCAAATTTCATGGATCATGCCACTGCTGAAGTGGTTCAGAGTGGATCAGAAGAAGCAAGAAGCACTGGGACAGTTTATAGTCGTGTTGATTGTCTGTGTCTGTCTCTGTCTCTGAGGTGTTTGATGTGGACAGTGCTTAAAATAAATACTTGATGCAGAAGAAGATTACAGAATTGAAGATCTTTTTATTTGATAAATGCAACCACTGAGTGTGATGTTTTCAATGAAACATGATTGGTGTAGTTGAACATATTGCATCACGTGGCGAGGCTTTGACTCCTGTACCAGTACAATTGCCGGAAAGCCCCAGATGGTTCATGGGGCTTCATTTGGCCATCACTATTCAGATGGTGTCAAGTGTGTGTGGCAGCAACCAAGTGAGGAGTACAAACACAAGTGTGTCTTGGCTACAGTCAAGCATGGTGGTGGGAGTGTCATGGTCTGGAGCTGCATGAGTGCTGCCGGCACTGGGGAACTACAGTTCAGTGAGGGGACCATAAATGCCAACATGTACTGTGACATACTGAAGCAGAGCATGGTCCCCTCCCTTCGATAACTGGGCCGCAGGGCAATATTCCAACATGATAATGACCCTAAACACACCTCCAAGACGACCAGTGATGAAGGTGATGGAGTGGCCAAGCATGTCACCAGACCTAAACCCTATTTTGTGGCCGTCCTCAATCAGATGGTAGAGGAGAACAAGGTCTCTAACGTCCACCAGCTCTATGATGTCGTCATGGAGGCGTGGAGGTGGAAACCTGTGACGCACTGGTGAACTCTATACCCAAGAGGATTAAAGCAGTGCTGGAAAATAATGGTGGCCACACAATATTGACACTTTGGGCCCAATTTGGACATTCTCACTTGTGTACTCACTTTTGTTGACATCAGTTTAGACATTAATGGCTGTGTGATGAATTATTTTGAGGGGACAGCAAATTTACCGCCGTTATACAAGCTGAACACAGAATACTTTACATTGAATCAGTGTCATTTCTTCAGTATTGTCCCATGAAAAGACAATTAAATATTTGCAGAAATGTGAGGGGTGTACTCACTTTAGTGAGATACTCTACCTGTCTGTCTACCTACCACAAAATTACTGTAATAAACCACTTACCAACTTACCTGTGGTGATCTGTGATTCTGGAACTGTGAGTAAGTCTGCTCTCTTTCACTGGTTAACATTTAAGCAGGGGTGGGTAGAGTAGCCAAAAGACTCAAGAATATTTTGACTTCAAACTAGAAGTACTTCTCCAAGAAATTACTCAAGTACAGTTGAAATCAAAATTATTGAACCCCCACTGCAAATGAGGTTTATTGGTAAAATGTACAAACTAGCAGCTGTTTATAAAAAAAAAAAAGAAATCAAACAAGAACAATTTAAATAGCTCAACACAACCAATATTACAAGTGGTTTCTCCAAATTTAACACAAAAGGCTACTTTTGTGCTACTGCTACTACTGCAGTCTTAAAATTGTTTAACCCCTTCAAGACAAACATCTTAAGTACTTAGTAGAGCACCTTTTGCTGTTATGATCTGCTGCAAACATGATAAATAGTCACACACCAGCTTGGCAGTGTTCCTGAGGAATCTTGGCCCATTCCTCATGTGCCTCCAGTTCACTAATATTCTTGGGTGTGTGTGCCGCAACTGCATTTTCCAGTGATTTTCAGTGGGGTTCAATCAGGTGAGTGTGATGGCCACTCTAGTATCTTCCAGGAGTTCTTCTGAAACCAAGCCTTTGTGGATTTTGAGGTAGGCTTGGGATAATTGTCCTGCTAGAAGGTCCAATGACGTCCAACCTTCAGTTTCCTCACAGATGACATGACATTTTCTCCGTCCTTGATTGAATCCATCTTGCCCTCTACATGGTGCAGGTTTCCAGTGCCAGAGGAAGTGAAGCAGCCCCAGAGCATCACTGAACGACCGCCATGCTTCACTGTAGCCAGGGTATTTTTTTCAGTGTATTATCCTTCCTCCTCCAGACGTACTGCTGATCCATAAGCCCAAAAAGTTCCAATTTTGTTTCATCGCTCCCCAGAATAGAATCTCCAACTCTTTGGTTTATTTATATAGTTTTGAGCTAATTTGAGCAGAGTTTTCTTGTGCCTTTGGGTCAGTAGTTGTGTACTACTTGGAGTTTGAGCATAGAACCCTTCAGCGTTTAGTCTGTGTCTTACTGTGGAAACTGAAACCTCAGTGCCTGCTGCCACCAGGTCTTGCTGCAGGGTCTTTTGCAGTCAGTCAAGGGTTTCTTACCACCTGCCTCCTCAGGACTCTGGTGGCAGCCGTTGATAGTTTCTCTTTCTACCACGTCCACGTCTTGTAGCCACTGTTCCTTTAACTTCAAACTTTCGAACTATGCTTCCAACTGTATCTCTAGGAACATTTAGTACCTTTGCTCTATTTTGTAGAAGACTAACTTTACAAACGTTTTTATCCTGTGTCTGAAAACGTAATTTTCAAGGCAAAGAAAGAGTCCGCTTGCTGCTGCGTGTTATAGCTAGTTCAGTCGCACCGAATCTCCGCGCACCCTTCTCTGCACCCCTTACTGCTCCCCTCCCTGCTCCCTGCTCCGCTCTTCTCCCTGCTCCTCACTTCTTCTCCGTGCACGAAATGTCCGCGTCACCCCCTCCCCCGCTCCTCACTTCTCCGTCTTGCCTAACCAACACTGTAGTTAGTTGTTTACAAGTCATGTGCAGCACCGGCTGTAAACAAACCTGTTTCTGGTGTAAAGAGGAGACGGGAGGAGGTGTTTCTACGTAGGAGCTGTAGGGGAGGGGGGGTGGTTTCACGCATGTGCAACATTTGAAAAAGGACAAACAGTCGCTGGATTTCTCGTTCCTTGGAAAATCCTCTATACAACCTTTAAGAAACACTTATTCCATTGATCATTTTACTTGTCAAGGTGAATCGACACAATTAAAGTAAAATGTTCTTAATTTAAGTCATTTTAATTTAGCTAAATATTGTGGGGGTTTTTTTTTTTTTTTTTGCAGTGTACTACATAAAATTTGATCAAAAACTGATTCAAGTTAATATAAATAAGCACTATCCACTTTAACATAAGAGCTCTCAAAGCGATTGTCTAAAGTACTCAAATTCCGATGAATACTATAATTTCAAGCCAGTTTTTACCTCTTCTTTTTCCTCTTCAGAATCATTTTCGTCGTGATCACAATAAAAGTCACCACCAGAAACCCAGCCACAGCCGCCAACCCCAGAAACACTTTTGGTAAGAAGTTTATCCCTGTAACACAAAGAGGGAAGAAATCTGTGTGAATGTAACTTAAGGTATGTTCAGAAAGAAGTACTCAAGTTTGCTAAGTAAAAGTACAGATACTGGAGCAAAAAAATCTACTTAAGTAAAAGTATTAAAGTACCTATTTAATCTGTTTAAATTGTACTTTAGGAGTAAAAAGTAAAAGTATTTTGAGCTTCAAATGCAGTGATTTTGATATAGATTTGTGGTAAATTTTGTTGAACAGAAGCAAATTAATTGATTTTTTTTTTTTTCCTAGCAGTTTTTATTTGTATATTTTTGTTTGCTCAAACTATGAATGTCACAATAAACTCCTCAGCCTTTTCAGCAGGTCTCAAAAGAAAAACAAAACAAAACAACAACTTATTTTCAGTCCTATTCTACCAACACCAACAAAGTACCAACACCTGCTCTCAAATGTAGTGAAGTAAAAGTAAAAAATGTATACATATAAGTACAGTACTTTACTACTTTTACTTTGTTATGTTCCACCACTGTTAGGCTGCGTTCAAACAGGGGCATCAAAACATGATCTGGACGCCTCTAGTTGGACGCCTTTTCATTTGAATTCAGATGCTCTAGACACATGTCCTGACGATCAGCTCAGCGGCTGCGGTGTATATATATTTATACTCTGCCAATGACACACTAATGACACTGGTTTAGTCCTGGTTTAGACCTCTTTTAGTCCTAGTTTAGACCTCTTTTAGTCCTGGTTCAGTCCTGACTTCGTACTGGTTCAGTAGTGGTTTGGTCTTGGTTAGTCCTGTTGATCGGCTCGGTGGTTGTCGTGTGTGTGTGTGTGTGTGTAATATAATTTACATATATATTTACCCTCTGCTATGACAGGGCATAGATTTCTTGTTTTGTGGTGTTTGTGGCTCACACACACTGGATAGTCATCCCTGATTCAATGCGGCCAATGCCAAAAGTTCAGCATTTAAAATTTCTGATGCCGACACCCTGGACGCGCTTCTAGAGCGTCAACACCTGAATGCGTGGTTTTGGCTAGTTCAGCCTTTTGACTTTTCCAAATCTCCCGTTCGTTCATATTTATATATTATTGATATTAATTAGTATAATATATTAAGATCATATCTTATATTTTTTCTTACTAGACTCAAGTCTAGTAATTGTTCTGCTTTGTGTAAAAGAGGCACCAGCGCCTTCACTGTCTGAGAAAGTTGTCCTTTTACCGTGTAGACAGAACCATGATGACACTGTTTTATAAAACATTTATGGAACCGGTTTTAACGTTTTGATTGGTCTCATGGTTTGGGAGCATTTCTGCTAAAAACAAGAACTCCCTGAATCAGTTGGTTAAATGGACGAGTGAGGTGATTGTCCATCCTCAGAGCCGCCTGGACTCTCTGGACTGGAGACAGTTACAGAGGACGTCCCAGAGGATTTTGTATCATCCACTAAACTCAGAGTTTCAGCTGCTTCCCTCTGGTCAGGGACTTTTAGTTCCAAGATCTAGAACAAATCATTTTAAAAGGAGCTTCGTTCCGGCTGCTGTCGTACTTATGAATAAATTGTAATCTATTTATCTAAGATTGTGAGTTTTTAACATAGTTAATATTTATTGTGATTTTACCCAAGCGTGATGGATGAATTTAACTAATTGTTTATGGAACAAATCATTCTGCACTGGAGCACTGTAACACTTTATTTTGTAATTGTGTTTTTATAAGTGTTTTGTGGATGAATGAAATGTGAAATGTGGAACCTGCCTCTCAAATCTGCAAAGCAAATTTACCTACGGGTACGAATAAAGCGACCGAACCTAACCTAAGTATCTGTCTCTCCTCACCTGTCCCTCCTCCTCCCTCGCTCCTCAGCATGTGTCTGGTGACCTCCAGAGACCCGTCGTTCTTCTCGGGTGTTATCCCCAGGATGTGGCACATGAGTGGGTAGATGTTGACCGTCTCGAAGGGTCCCACCTCCAGGTTCTGGTGGAAGGCTGGTCCCACAGCTCTGAAGAAGGCCTTCATGTCCATTTCTGTGTTATCAAAGCCGTGCTCCCCTTTATTAAACTGCACTGGAAAGTACTGCAAGAGACAGACAGGAGGGGCTGAGTGAGTACAACTACTATTGTTACTACTATGATTACAATAGTACTTTTACTACTCTTGCTGCTGCTTCTACTAGAATTGATGTCCCTCATTCCAATTCATAAATGCACTGTGTTCTGTATCTCTCACAACATCACAACATTCTGTCATCCCATTAGTTTTAAGTGAGGTTTACTTGGTGGATGTGATACAGGAAATAATCAAGATGGCCACTGCACAGACAAACTAACACTGGGGGAACGCTGCACTTTCTCTCACCTTTGAAATGTCACTATCGTTTATCATAATCCCTGTAACATGCACACCTGTGTTTTCTCGTCTTTATCTGAGCACAGGTCGATGCTCGGGTCTGATAATGACAAAAATAAGACGAATATTATCAGAGGGATAACAGTGATCAGGTATAACCCCGACCTGGGCTTAAAAACAGAAACAAAAGCTAAAAGGAGGGAAAATACACTAGTAATCTACACTGACAAAAGGGTCATCCACAAGCTCTTTGTTTATAAGTGTGTTGGTGCTCACTTTTGGTGTCATAGTGACGACACAGTATGGCCCCACAGCATGGCATTAACCTTATCTATTTACATGAAGATAGATAGTGGATGCTCTTTAAGATAATCTGGCTCAGAGTCCTGTACAGGTCCATTTTTGGAGACCCGATCCCATGCTGTAAGGCACCACACCCGCCTGTTAACCCGTGATTAGATCAAAGTTAAATATGCACCCGCCCTGAACCATTAACATTCCACCTGTTACCCGCCCATTCCCCTGATAAATCAGGGTCAGTCTATTAGTCCGACAGCCCAATAGTCCAGAACTAAGCCAGGACTAAACCAGGACTGAATTTATGCCGTGTCATTAGAGGATTATAAATATACACATGCCGCAACCACAGAGCTGATCGCCAGGACTACACCAGGACTGGACCAGGTCTAAACCAGGACTGAACCAGGACTAAACCAGGACTGAACCAGGACTAAACCAGGACTAAACCACCCAAGACTAAACCAGGACTATACCAGGACTAAAACCAGGACTAAAACCAGGACTAAAAACCAGGACTGAACCAGGACTAAACCAGGACTAAACCAGGACTAAACCAGGACTAAACCAGGACTAAACCAGGACTAAACCAGGACTAAACCAGGACTATACCAGGAACACAGCTGACAAGCAGTTCACCTCCGCTGCTGGTTTTATGTAATAAAAACACTGAAGTTTCTCTCAGCCTGGTCCATCGTTCATCATCGGAAAAGGCCAGGAAATGTCACTTGTTTCCAGGGCAACCTGGAATGCACATCAAGTATTTTTCTTCCGTTTGTGGTTCATTTGATTCACCTGACCGGCCCGTGTGTAATCCCTACCTGCCTGCATACCTGCCAGTAAAATTCCAGAACGTTAAAATCTGCCCAAAGGGTACACTGACCTAGTGCAGGACTCTGACCTGTTGTTGTGTCCTTAGGCAAGGCATTTCACCCATATTGCCTAGTATGAAAGTGGTGTGTGTGTGAGTGATGCTGGTGGTCGGAGGGGCCGATGGTGCCGATTGGCAGCCTCGCTTCCGTCAGTCTGCCCCAGGGCAGCTGTGTCTACAGTAGTAGTTTACCACCACTGGGTCTGGAGTGAATGAATAATGCTCTGCATCTTGCAGTGTCCAAAAAAGCGCTAAAACTGATGCATTATTATTATTATTATTATTATTATAGATGTGTAGCACTTGAACACACAACACAACAACACAATGAGTTCAACATATGTATCAGTCTGGGACGAGTCTCTCTGAACATGAACAGGAAAAGGTGAAACATCCAGACAAAAGCTTGAATCTCATTGACTGAAGCATCAACAGCTGAACAAGCCAAGAAATCAAACTGGTCATCTCCATTTTCTCTCCGCCCACACCACAGTGCTGCCCTGTGATTGGTCCAATCTGCAGCCACTGTCGACTCAGGCTCATTCGCACCAGCAGGAGCAGAACAGTTTGTCGTTTGAATTTGTGAACCAGCGAGAATATTGTGTGAATTCATCTTGCTGCTCAAATTTACCTTTAAAGTATGAGTTTGTGTTTCTACTTCTCAGAAAGGTTGTTCTACTCACCCCATTGATGACATATCCAGAGTCAGCCCAGAGGATGATGGGTAAAATGCGCTCGCTCTTCGTGAAGTGCATGCGTTCAGGGAGCTCTTCTTTCTTATAAACGTGCAGATGTGGATGAGCCCCTTTTAAGGCGTTGTAAACCTTTTCCAACATCCCTGGTTTGGGCAGGATCATCCCACTGGGTCCATAGTCCAACAAATAAAACTCTACATCTTTGAAGGAAAACCCAGGAATTTTAGAGAGTGTGATTTCTTCAACAAGTCCATTTCGGTACACATTGGTCATCCCATGATCAGCGGTGATTATGATGTTTAATCGATCTTCTAAACCATAATTTCTGGCAGCTTGACGAATATATCCAACTGTACGATCGACTTGCTTCACCATTTCTTTAACTTCGGGTGAGTTTGGGCCGTAGCGATGTCCAGTTTTATCCGGTTCTCCAAAATACATAGAGACAAAATCCAGATCTTTGTCTCTGAACCAGCTCATGACCTTGTCCGTGTTTTCTCTCCAGGCAGGTTTCGTTCTTGTAGTTGTACATTAGCGGCTCCACCTCTCGGACTGAAGCGCTCTCTCCGTCGTAGCTGGAAGCCGTGCCGGGGAAGTGCAGGGAGCCGGCTTTGAGACCCTGGAAAAGATTAGGAAACAGAAAAGTGAAAATGTATTTGGAATGATAACAAGGTTGGTATTAAGTTTGTGCTGCAAGCTGGATTGTTGGAAGGTTTGAGGTATGGCTCCAGCTGATTCGTTTGAGCCTGCACAACTTTTGGTGTGAAGCAGTACAGTTGCTAAGAAGATAACAATGGTAAAAATATAGGCTGTTATAATTGGCTTAACCTCTGCTGAGAGTCCCTCCTCCGTTCTTTCTGAACTATTTCTATATTGATCTTACAGAGTTATATCTTATTTGCACTGCAATATCGATCTGAATGGTGTTTTGTGCTCTGCTGGTTCCAAATTAAGTGGGTTGTTAAAGTTCCAATCTCATGCAAAAAAACTCTTTTCACATTGTATTTTCTGCACATAAACAAGCACAATTTGGGTTTTGGAACATCCATTACACAATAGTTATGAAATCTTACTGATTTCTTGGAGACAGTCACAGACCAGGAACTATGAAAGACCGACTATTGCTCCTCCCCCCGCCCGTCCTGAGAAAACACAGGCTCCGCCCTCCAAACGTGACGTAGGCGACGAGTGAGCCGCCCTTCCTCCGCCCATCTCAGGGAGGGAGGGGGAGACAGGCGTGCACCCTGATAGAGGCAGGAATAAACTTTTATTCATCATGGAGATACAGCGCGTTCAGCCGCATGTGTTGGACCCGGAATCGGACGAGGACTTTGAGGAGCACGAAGCTCAAGCACCGTGTCGACATCAGCTGAGCGTTACTGATTAAGTATTAATAAACACTAGTAGATCAACTTATTATATCATGTACACTGCAGTTAGAACAATGAGCTTATGCTGTCGCGTTTGTTTAGGTGTTCATGTGGGAATTGTCAGCCGATGCGGGGTGAAGGGGGTGGATGTGAAGCACTTTCTGCTACGTCAAATGCGTCATATGTGTATCTGCCATGTCATCATTGTAGCAGCTTTAGTTCGTTGTCACGTGGGAGGGTGCTAGAAATACGCTGCAATTTGTTTAAAAAAAACGCCAAATCAATCTAAAAACCACTTCAGCGACATATACAAGGCCCACACATCACTCTTAGAAGGTAGAAAGCTCTGAAAAGTAGATTTTGCATGAGATGGGCCCTTTTAAGGCAAATGGTATAGAAAGACACAGATAATCCTCTTTTCAGATAAGGTTCAAACCCTCTACAGTTTTACATTGATGAATAAAACAGTAAACAGCAGCAGAGTACACAATAGAAGGTAAAGCCTTTTGTACTCAGATATTCAGAATAGAGGTGGGAGTAGTTTAGTGTAACACCATTTACACAGGATTGGGCCTGTCTAACCTTATGTTTGTGTCTTACCCTTGGTCATTATTTCACTTATAATTTCTTCAATAAAATGCACTATTAAAGGTGCACTAACTTTACATGTGGAGGCTGTCAACTGCTTGTCTCCATGCCGATGTTATTGCTCTGCCTGGAATGTTCCACAGTATGGCATTGTTTTGGACAGACCTGTCTCTGTGCAGTGATCCAGATGGGCAGAGAGCCGTTGTCCCACCACTCGTTCTTGAACTGGGTCTGATAATACGGCAGCATCCTTGAGGTGGTGGTGTTGAACCACATGTTGTGAATCACCCCATGGTTCTCCACGTACAGACCTGAGGAGCAGAGAAGGCGGTCACTATCAAACCTAAAACTAAACCTGGACTAGAACAGGAACAAACCTGGTTTACATCAGAAAAATGAGCCTAAACCAGGACCAGTGTGAACGGACTCTTGGATAATTTCTGTCATTGTGTAGAGGGAGACCTGTAATATCTGTCATATGGCCTTGACCTGTGGAGTGCCCCAGGGGTCAATCCTGGGACCCCTCTTGTTTAATCTCTACGTTCTGCTGTTAGACCAGTTAATACGCAGTAATTACATGTCCTACCACAACTACAACAAACTTGGATCTACTAGTATGTGTAGTGTTGTGTCTAAATCAGGGGTGTTCAAACTATGGCCCAGGAGCCAAACACGGCCCTCAGGCTTTCATCTGAATTGACCCAAATGATCATAGGCAGTACGTTCAGCTGCAAATTAAAGTATTTCTGTCATTGTATTATATTATTACATTGTGAAACTGACCTAAATTAGGCCTGAAATGAGTGTTTTAGAGGTGTTGTGCCTCTGTAAAATGCATCTATTTGAAAACCTTGCTGTATTGAACACCTCTCTATAACCCTATGCTACAAATATGTTTCAAAATAAATATTAAATTATGCTCTTTTGCAGTTACTGTTTATGCTGCCCCCAGGCCTGGAGTGAAAGAAGTCTGAGAGTCCCTGCTTAGACTGCTGCCCGCGACCCAGCCCCGGATAAGAGGAAGAAAATTGAAGGATGGATGTTTATGATTACAATAAAATGTAAATCAGATGATTGAGCAGCTAAGCCTCTGCCTTCCACGTTTCAACCATCTGCATTGTCTCAGCTGCAGCAGGTTAAAGGAGTGTTCAGATCTTTACCTGTGAGCAGAGTGAAGTGCGTGGGGCTGGTGATGGTGAGGTACGGAGGAGTGACGTACTGAGCCTTCACTCCGTCTTTAACCATCTGGTCCAGGTTCGGAGTGTCCACATCGCGGTCGTAATCCCACCGAAACCCATCGAACGAAACCAGCAACAGCTTCTGCCTCTGCCTGTTCACCGGCGACGCCAACGCTACGGAGGCCCAGAGGAGACACAAGACCACTGGAGCACGCATTTTCAAAAACTGATTCTAGTCCAGGCTGTTTCCAGTGTGTTTCCTCTCCGACTGCTTGATCCTTCTGAAGCTCAGAGCAAAGTTTCATGGTTTATCTTATCTGCTCAGTTCTTGAAAGACCAGCTGATGTTTATGACAAACTTGACTCTAATCTTATGTTTCTTAACTGTTAATATATATATGTGAAATTTTACACAATCAAGATTATGAAAATGATTCTGAGTGACCTTGTGTTCTTGCATCACAACAAGAGGGTAACAACTACCAGGTTTGATTCTCTAAAGCAGCATTTCTAAATTGAGTAAGATTTTCAGTTTTTCATGTTATCATCAGACCCACTGACCCACAGGTTGGTGATGCAAGTCCAACTCCCACACACGAATACTGTTGTTGTGTCCTTGGGCAAGACACTCCCACCTCACCTCCAGTGTTTGCGTACACTGGTGTATGAAAGTGTGTGAATGGGCTCTTTACATCAAAGAGCTTTTAGTGCCTTCAAGGTGGAAAAGTGCAAAATAAAAAAACAAACAAACAAACAAACAAAACATTTACTGTGCCGATCAAATAAATAAAACAAAAATTAAAACATGATGACACGTCCAACACCAGCTAGTAAATACTAGTAGAGGCCACACCAGAATATCAGTTTATTTAACTGATACACGATACAGCAAATTTTTCAGGATCAACGCCAATATTCTTTAATTATTACCTAATAAATACAACATTATTAAAGGGACAGTTCAGAATTTTGTACATAGGACCTCATTTCCTAGTGAGCCAGAGTGTTGGAGACGTGTGGAGACACTTTTTGAAATATTCCATCCAGTTCTTGTACTTGCAGAGGTCACTGGTGCTAGACTAGTGCATGTCAATGGCCACAGTTCTCCTGCCACTAAAAACAGTCTTACCCACTCCACAAAACACCTGAAGAAATTCTATTATTACACCAGACTGTCCATGTGAATGTCTGTCGATAGAATAATGTTTGAAATAAAACTAACCTTACATCGCATGGATCGTCGCATGTTGAGGGACTATTTTTTCATATATCAGTCCGCCACTGTGAAGTTTTCTATCAGGAAGTACAACTCACTGCTGCTCAGACAGAAATCCTTCAAATGCAAGGTTGGTTTTACTTGTAAAATTATTCTATCAACACAGACATTTACATGTCTGGTGTAACTTCAGGCTAGGACAGTCAGTCCAAACAAGTGACATGTCTCACACGTCTTTTAGTCCTATGTCCAAAATTCTGAACTGTCCTGTCAAATGTTGCATGAACTAGTCTTGTTTGTCATTTTTTTTTTGATAAATGAAACTACAGACTTTGCTCAGTAACCACACATTCATTATAGTCATTGGTTAAGTTAAGTTTTATTTTAAATACATTATTCTAAGGTTAGACACAAGGCACAATTTCAGGTGAGCGAGGGATGAACACAGACTCAAAAGGAAGTTTGTTTGACTTCCTCTTTTTCCTTTGTTTCTTTTTTCTCTCCATCGCTTTGTGATCTGAAACACATACAAGTCATTTTGGTCAAGATTTGATGAAAAAAAGCAATCCAGATACCTGATATAGACTCAGTATATAAATCTTAATTTCAGTACTTTAAAATTTTTATTATAATGTATTTATTTGATTTAAAATGCTACACTTTTGATTATTTGTTTTTTTTCCATAGTAAAATTCAAATAGAATTTAAAAATGCAGAAACTAACCAGCTATGAAATAAAACTGACACAAAAAACTGATTAATTTGAAAAAAGTCAGTATGTACATGGTTAAACACTGTTAAACATTGTTAAATATTGTTAAATGTACCTCTTCTTTTTCCTCTTCAGAATCATTGTCGTCGTGAACACAAAAAAAATCACCACCAGAAACCCAGCCACAGCCGCCAACCCCAGAAACAGGTTTGGTAAGAAGTTTATCCCTGTAACACAAAGAGGAAAACAGTGAATGAATCTGCAGCCACGGTTGCCCTGGGACAGACTGATGGAGGCGAGGCTGTCAGTTCGATTGGCTTGTGCCCCTCACCTGTCCCACCTCCTCCCTCGCTCCTCAGCATGTGTCTGGTGACCTCCAGAGACCCGTCGTTCTTCTCGGGTGTTATCCCCAGGATGTGGCACATGAGTGGGTAGATGTTGACCGTCTCGAAGGGTCCCACCTCCAGGTTCTGGTGGAAGGCTGGTCCCACAGCTCTGAAGAAGGCCTTCATGTCCATCTCTGCGTTATCAAAGCCGTGTTCTCCTTTGTGGAACTGCACCGGGAAATACTGCAAGAGACAAGAGCAAGGACTGAGTGATACTACTACTACTACTACTACTACTACTACTACTACTACTACTACTACTACTACGCAACTGTTACTACTATGATTACTAGGTCTGAGACAATAATCGTTCAATACATAGAGGTGGAATACTTTCCAGGCACTGTTGGGCAAGTTACTTTAAAACTGTAATGTGTTATTTATGACTTGTTACTGTCATTTCAAAGTAATTTGTTACATTACAATATTACTGTGTTTAAAATGTAAAACATTACGTTATTATTGTTTTACTTTTAAGTTACTCTCACCAATAACTATGAAGATGCTGAACCTTTGTGCCGTATATGGACTAAACCAGGACTGAACCGAGAAAGGAACCAGGAGGACTGAACGAGGACTAAACCAGGTCTAAACCAGGACTTAACCAGGTCTAAACCAGGCATAAATTAGGACTAAACCAGAGCTGAACCAGGACTAAAGTAGGTCTAAACCAGAACTGAACTGAGGACTAAACCAGGACTAAACCGGGACTAATCTTGGACTAGAACTTGGAATCTAGGACTACCACTGAGAGAACCCCGAGCCCATGGAACAGGGTGGTCAGCAAGGCACGATTGGGCGTCAGCTGAGGTTTGCCCCATGGAGCGTGGAGTTTTTTCACCCGTGATCACCCAATGGTCTATGCGGACGTGTCTCCGGCATTTCACCGCTGCTGATATTGCGTTGATTTTAGCAAATTTGTATGAAGAAAAACGAATAACCAAAATATTACAATGTATTTTCCTGTAATGCCGTAACATTACTGTGTTACAGCAAAAAGCAACGCATTACAGTAATTCGTTAATTTTATTATTAAAAGCGTTACTCCCAACACTGTTTTCAGGGATGAATTTTTCTGTACTATGATAAGATCTGACCTTAGACGGTTGAATCAATAATAGAAACAAACCCATATATTGGTGTCTCCAGCACCTGCTATCTGAAAAGTCTTGTTTTGGATTAACCATTCCCCAAACTCACCAGCAGAGGGAGCCAAAAACCAGTGAATAGACCATGTTTTCAGTCTTATGATTTACAAAGGCATTTCTTATAGTAATTCCTCAAAAGGAGAAACCTAACCTCAAATATTAAACTCAAAATGGTACAAAATGACTCTGCTTTTGTTTTGTTATGCTACTAACAGTTCAAACTTGATTCCAGTACTATTAGTAGTATTAGTAGTTTTTTATTCAGTCATTTTGCAACACTACAAAACAAAACAAAACATTGACTACAACTCCATGGATCATGACCGTAAGGGTTTACTAAGGAATACATACTAAGGACCAGACTCAGTACTCAAAACAGATTCACAAAACATCAAATGGTAGTACTTTCTTTTCTATTCCCATGTGTCCTTATATCTGTAACATACATACATCTGTACATCAGTGGTCCAGTAGTTTCCATAGTGGTTCATGGGCGTGTTCTAGTCTTTGTGCTCTTATACTTGTTATGATACAGCTCAAGATCATTGTAAAGACATTCAGGAAAGGAAATATGGGGAACACTGCACTTTGTCTCACCTTTGAAATGTCACTATCGTTTATCATAATCCCCGTAACATAACCTGTGTTTTCACCTCTTTATTTGAGCACAGGTCGATGCTCGGGTCTGATAATGGGGACACATTATCAGTATTATCAGCTGGATAACAGTGGCCAGGTTTGACCTCAACCATGACAGTCTGAAACAAGGTTAAAGGGGGGTAAGTTAAAGGGGAGATAGCCACTTTAGCCAAGGGGCCATATTACACTATGTTCTGATCTGTGTAGTGTATAATGTTGTTTCCTCATTAGAAACAGATCTGGAGTTGTGTTTTGTTTCATTCACACGTTTAACACAAACCCCACATTGACTTCTTCTCTCAAACTGAAAACACTCTGTTCCACCTTGTGATGTCATCTGGTAATACATGAAATGTAAACTGCACAAAAGGTAAAAAGTAGCTGTTAACTTGTGGAGCAGAGCAGAGCATTTTGAGCTTTGGAGATGTAGACAAACTAATACTAAAGAGTTACTCAAACATGTTTGAATGAAACAAAACACAACTCCAGGTGTGTTTTTGAGGAGGTACAGGGTAGCCACGGGGTCTTAAAAGTCTTAAAAAGGTCTTAAATGTCATGTTCCTAAATTAAAGTCTTAAAAAGTCTTATTTTTTTCACAAAGGTCTTAAATTTCATTAGCCTATTATTATTATTTTTTTGTAAACTCAACCAGTCTGCAGTGCAACGTTAAACGGAGGAGAAAAAAAAACAACTAAACAACAACAACAACAACGTGAAATCAACGTGAATGAACATCTAATTTGGAGTATGTGCAAACAATACTTTGGTTTCTGGTGCCGATGGCAATGAGTAAATCATCAGTAGAGTGGAAGAAGATGCTGGACTGTAGGTTTAATCCACAATGGCTCTTAGATTCTAGGTACAGTTGTTGGTTGGTCACATGGATCTATTAAAATAACTGGATAGGGTGTTGTTTCTTGTAGCTGCCTCCAGTTGATGTAGTGACACTCACTGGTATTACAGCGGAAAAAATCCCATGGGCCGAGAGAAGATTTTCTCATAGAGTGCAATGTAAACACAAACTGCTGGTGTTCGGCTGACAGGGCACCTACAACTTTCAAAAATGTCGGATTTGGTGGCGATTTTTACCTATTTTTAGCTCAAAATCCTTCAGTTG